CAAAATAATTTACAAAACTGACCATTTTCTTCGGAAAAGTATCGGTTTTACAGTTGTGATGTTTTTCACGCTACACAGGACTGCTAGTCCCGTATAGTTCGGACAGCAATTGAAATGCACAGGACTAGCAGTCCCGTGCATTTCATTCTTGTTACGACACTCGTGACCCTCCACCCTCATTCCCTCATTTCCTGCACCCGTGACCCCTCCCCTCTCTCGCCCCTCTCAACTCCCTCTCTCGCCCCTCTCGACTCCGCCGCCCCCCGCCGACCTCCGCTGACCAAGCTCCTGATCACTGTCGCCGACCAAGCTCCCATCAAGATAAATTTTTTAATTTTGTTGTTAAATTTGATGAGGGATATGAATTGGGAGTTAGAGTTTAGCCATGAAATTTGCTTTTCAGTTGAGATTTGGGATTAGGGTTTAACCATGAGTATTGTGATTAGGATTAAGCCATGAATAATGTGATTAGGGTTTAGCCATGAATAATATGATTTGGGATTAGGGTTTTTTGCTTTTCAGTTGAGATTTGGGTTTAGGGTTTAGCCATGAATAATGTGATTTGGGATTAGGATTTTATAAATAATTTTTAGTTATAATATGATTAGGGTTTAGACATGAATAATGTGAATTGGGAATAGGTTTTTTATCCATTATTTGTTTTTCAGTTGAGATTAGGGTTTTAAATTTGATTTTAAATTAAGATTAATATTTTCAATTATAATAGATTATTTACATATGATGGACTGTTGATTTTCAAATTCGATGGCAAACTCTATACCTATTATTTGCTTTTTCAATGGAAGTCTCGGCGCCGGATTGAATAGTATGTCTATGTATGAGGTAGGTTCTAAGAAAACGTTTATGCTATCTAAGTCATGTAATTTTGATGGAATGATGAATGAAATACACAGAGTTACTAAAATTAATAAGTCATGTAATTTTGATGGAATGATGAATGAAATACACAGAGTTACTAAAATTAATAAAGCAGAGTATGCAATTAAGGTGTTCTTCAACTGTTATGAATGAAATACACAGAGTTACTAAAATTAATAAAGCAGAGTATGCAATTAAGGTGTTCTTCAACTGTTCGATAAATGAGTAGAACTATTACTGTGGAGATTACCGACAATGAGGAATTGAATGACATGAAACAATTAGTCAAGAACCAAGTGTCAATTGAGTTGTTCATTGAGAAGTATCTGATTCATGAATTTGTCCAAGTTTCACGACCTCAAGGAGATTTTCTCGGATGCTTGATTTAGACAATCAGTCAAGTGGTTTTATGACATCTCCAAGTCAAGATCTGTGGTTTCAACTACAACATTTAAGTGGTCATTCTCTTAGTGGGACGTCAAGTACTATATTTAACAACGCTTCGGGCCATGTTACGGGTGACCTACCGACCGGATCAATTGTAGAAGAAGAAATACATGATGACTCAGAAAATATTGAAGAAGGCGTGCAAATCGATAGCATGCAGGTGTCAGCTGAAATCGATGATGATTCCCGTTGGATGGAACAATTTAATGTTAACAATATAATGTGGAAGCTGAAGATCAGTTACCTAACGAGTTTCATAATGAGGATCAAGGTTATCGATAGCGGATAGCGTCGCGTAGCGGTGAGGCATCGCTAAGGCTATTTCGGGCTATTGCAGCAAAATAACGGTAAAAAACGCAAAGTCAAATAGCCGTCTAATTTAGATATGTATAAATACTAAAAAAAATCTAAAAGTACATATTGCATGATTTAAAGAAATCCTAAACATGACATAGACATGTAACCATCACGTAATACTGAAGATGACTGAAGGAGTCAAAAAATCGTCGTCTTCGAGAAGAAGAGCTTAGCGGTGACAGGACTGGCCTAAGAAGGAGCTCACGGTGAAGGAGTTGAGAGAAAGTATCAAGGTAGATGCCGGAGGCTATTAGAGGTGACGGGAGTATGCTGAAAATCACAGGAGACAGTGGAATGCAATGATCAAGGGTTGAGTTTAATTTTAAAAAAATAAGCCTCAGACTGCTTTTAAATAGCAGTCAAAAAGCAAATTTCGAATGCAATCGCTCACTATTTATCGTTATGATACACTATTAGCAGCTTTTGCAAACAAACATATTCCGTAATATGTCACCGCTATTGCGCGATAGCGTAGCGGACGATAGCGTCGCTGAAAAGGACCGCTAACGCTATTAGCGCCGCTATTACGGGGCTATTTACAGCTGTTTATAACAGTGATGAGGATTGGATAAATACTTCTCAAGCTGAATTTGTTAATGTTTGTCCAAATTTTCAACGGCCTGAGGACTTCACTTTTAAATAAGGGGACCTATTCGAGAGCAAGGAAGCATTGATCTTTACAATAGGAGAATGGTCTATCAAAAATCGGGTCAAATTCTAACCGGTAAAAACTAATACAACAAACTACTATGTAAAATGTTACTGTAACGAGAAGATTGAAGTAGAGCATGCAAATGATGCAAGGTCAGATATTTCAAACTAGTAGAGCATGCAAATGATGCAGTCCCGTATAGCGCGAATGATGTGAATGATGCAAATGATGCAGTCCCGTGCATTTCAATTATTGGCCGAACTACACGGGACTAGCAGTCTCGTGTAGCGCGAAAAACATCACAACTGTAAAACCGACCCTTTTCCGAAAATGATGCAAACGATGCAGTCCCGTGCATTTCAATTGTTGATCGAACTACACGGGACTAGCAGTCTCGTGTAGCGCGAAAAACATCGCAACTGCAAAACCGACCCTTTTCTTCGGAAAAGGGTCGGTTTTGCAGATTATTTTGCGATGTGGTCGGTTTTGCTATATAAAATTGAAAAAATGATGCTTTTAAAATTGTCCTTTTAAAAACATAAAAATATATTTAAAATGACAACAATTTATTTTTTAGAAAAATAAGTTCTATAAAAATGATATTTTTCTTATAGAAATAATTTTTTCGGTTGATAATTATATTTTGGTACACCGTCTCAGCAACAGTTTCAGACTTTTGGCTTACTAATTGAAAAATATTTTTTATAGAAACTATTTTTATTATAAATAATTATAATTTCACATTTCTAACTTCTAATGCTACATGTCATACTACTTGTCTGAGCAGCTAATGCTACTAGCATCACTGTGCACAAACGTATACAATAGACTGAATTCCATATGCATGCTACATGATTTAGTCTGTATATAAAATTTCTATGAAATTTCAAATGCACCTTTAACTTTCAAAAAATTGATTAGGAATAGAAAACATACAAAAAATAAAATATTTGCTTCAATGGAACTTCGAATCATACATTCAAAGATAAAATATTTGCTAACCTAATTTGCCAATAGATTACGCAACCGAGTCGTCAAAAGATAAAAAATTGCTGTAAAGATTAGGTAAAGATTATATAGTTTAAAAAGAAATAATGGTCACCTAACTGAGTCGCGTTGAGGCGAATACGAGATTTTTTCCTACTGCAGACGCTTCGGAACTAGGGCAAAGGCGAACAAAGAATAGTATTTTAACATTTTACATCTATTTTTATATTTGTACAAGCAGCTAATGATATTATTTCTATAGAAATAATTTTTCATATGGGAATTTATACCTATTCGTATCTTTTAAGGTATAATCGGAAATTATTTAATTATTTTTATTCCCACTTAAGTGTGGATATCAATTCCTTGTCAAATGGTTAGGAATGACAATTCCCACATAAAGTGGGAATTGATAAGAAATGAGAATAGTAATTCTAGCATCTAAAATACATCGTGTTGGGTATGCATGAATAAAGAGTTGGAATTGCATTTCATTCTCACTCATTCCCGTGTACCAAACGAGGCATAAGAGAAAGCCAACCAAAGCGCAACCAAAGTTTTCCGTAGGGTGGAGCGCTAAGAAAGAGAAAGTGTTATCACTATACGAAATGAAGCAGCGGCTTACACGCTGAGATCAACCACTTGGAAAAGGTGTCTCCTTTCTTTCTCGATCGACTGTCTTAATTTATGTTGTAATGCGGTCGTTTTCTACTACAATTGGTGTTTCCACTCCCCCCCTCCCTCTCCCCCATAACCCAATTTTTCTATAAGCAAAACCACGGTATCCGGAATTATAGCTTTCTCACGATAAGAGCTGCCTATGAAAAAAGATCTCGCCAGAGATGCCCATTTTTTTCTTTTTCCGTATTTCTCTTTATGTACACATAACGTCGGGCCTTGAATATTCTCCCGCGCAAGATGATGGCAAAGGAAAGAAAAAACTCTTTGAAAAATGATTCGCATGTTAGATTAGAGAATAGATTGTCAAGTACCCTTCTCAGGGAAGGAAGTACCCAAAAACGAGACAGATGAACGCAAGAACGCACCCTTGTTTAAGGATAACTGACTGCAGTGTAATGGGCTTCGGATTGAAAAGAAGAAAAGCTATAAGATTTTTTATGTCTGGACTACTCGTCCTTTGATAGCTCACTGGCAAAATCAGCTTAGATCGTAGGACATCAACCTTGGTATAGGCAGATCAGGAGGCCACACCTAAGGCATAAAGGAAAAAACTCTTCAGTATAATGATCAACGGAAGCCAAAAAGCAAAATGGATTCTTTCCATATTCTAAAGGCGGCTCGCTTGGAAGACAGGAAAGATGAATGAGCGTGCCATAAGGAAAGATGGCTAAAAAAAGCGAAGGGATTGGATGCGGAGCTCTCCATAGGAACAGGCCCTGTACAGGAAATAGTTATCAACAACAATGGGCAGACCATCACGATGCCTACAAGCATGCACATAATATTAAAATGAACCTTATACGAACAGAAAAATTCAAGAACCTTCCAAGAGTGGTGTCATGTGTTGTTTTGAACTAGTGAGGAACACTGAATAAGTAACAAGCCCAAGAGTTTAGGTTCAGGATCATAAGAAAGAGATAAACCTCTTATCTCCTGGCATACAGGTCATATACTACCTATCCTTCATCAACAAGGACTTTAAAAAAATAGCAGTTACCTGTTTAACTATGCTAGAACGTCGATCCAACAGTTGAGTGCTTAAAGGAGGTACAAGCTGCTTTAAGATCATGGGAAGTGATGGATAATTGGTAGCACCTAAAAAGATAAACGAAAGGTTTTAAGTATAATATCAACTGATATCACAATGCCACATCCTACGAATAGGCCATAAAGATGAGGAAAAATATTTAGAAGCTATTATCAAGCGTCAAACATTTGATTTAGAAGAAGACCACTTTCAGCCACAATTTGAACTGAGATTATCTTAATGTTTTGCCAAGATATACACGAGAATAAAAGCAAAGTAGATTGGAAATTTTTAATTTTGGAAATAAATTAAAATCTTAGAAGAAACTGTAACTTAAGGTGGCAGTGGCATTATAGTGAAGCGTGTCTTTCAAGGGAGAATCGCAAGAGCTGAAACCAATCTTAGAAAGATATTTTCATTAAAAGCATGTCCACTCTATTCAAAAGACAGACGAGAATCATCAAACATGCAAAGACTCGCTAAAAAGAAAGGTAAACCTAATAAAAGTTTTAGGCCATCCCGATGAGCCTGAGATCCAACATTAAACTAGTAACACACTTCCTTTACTTGAAATACTGAAAGGAGAATGAAGTTCGGCGGTATAACCTCCAAAAACCAGGCCCTCAATTCTCTGCATAGCAGCTATACGGAGTGACCAATCTTTTTCTGGTACTAGAGTAGATGCTATCTTCTCAATTTCCCGAATTAGCTCCTTCTCCGAGTAGACCATGATAGGGTCCACAGGCTTTTCAGTTACATCAGCCTCCCCTGCAGCTCAAAAGAAACAAACTCATGAACTACATCAAAATATAAAAGCATGAAAGCAAGAGAAATTTACTAACTGGCCAATAAAACTGACTAGCTTATTTAATTAAAAAACAACTCACTGTAGTTGGTTCTCAAGTCAATTCAGGCCAATGCAAGTAGCAAAATAGGTATCATTGCGTGCAGATGTGTAAAGTAAAAAAGACAAGAAGAAAAAAGATCCACATAACCATCTCATGATCAAAAGCGGGAAATATTTGACAATCGAATTTCTCCAATTATGTAAGGAGAGGTTATAAAAACCTTAGATGTGGAGGAGATGCATAGGTTGTAATTAAACCCATAATGAACTATGAGAGCAAATCTGATGAAGGAAGTTTACGAGTTAAAAATCACAATTTCCACAAGCAAAATGCCAATTACAGTCAGTTGTGCATAAAGAAAGCAATTTCTGACAATTATCTTTGTAGTACGATTCGCAAAAGAGGATAGAATTATGAGATAGAGCTCAAACCAATGAGCCACATACAATTTGTATAGGATAGAATTAATGCAGTCCCTTGTGGTGGAGAATACAAGGATGAAAGAAAAGACAGACGAACATAATGACATGCATCTCTGTGGGTGGATCGGTTGCGGCATGAGGAGGCGTTCTAGCAATATGGTTGGCAAAGGAAGAGAGATACAATTACTTCAAGTGAAGCTGTCCACATAGGAATTAATACGTGATGACCTTTGAGCAAGCACTTGTGCCACCACGCATAGCTTTGGGGGTTATATTTAACCAGATGAGAAGATTCTATGGGAATGGATATTATGGACGATTGGAACCAGTGTTTTCAAGCATGCGCCTCATACGCCTTGCGATGGGGGGCAGTGGTGAAGCACCCTGCATCTGATGCAGTAGCACCTTTTGCATCTCACATGCATCCTAACTTCGCACATGCATCCTAACTTCGCACAGGGTGCATATAGTACATATGCACATAATTTTGTTTGTTAACACTTCAATCAAGTCTTTATATTCAATAATATATCCTAAAAAGTGAAATAAATCCATTAGGCCTTTTTAGTAGCCTTCAATTGAGGATCATAACTAATCCTTGGCTTGGATATTAGTCTTGAGCTGACATTTTATTTGAAAAATTATGAACTTTGCTACTATGTTGGGGGTTAGCATTAGAAACTAAGACCATGTATTGTGATTTTGTAATAAGATATTATTTACCTTGACATATTTTTCACGTGAATTCGTAAACATGTTCTTTCGTGCTTGATTATCTATCTTGAAAAATTATGCGTGCGGTGTGCGCCTCGCATTACTTGGGCGCGCACATCGCGTTGTGCCTTGCGCATGTGCGCGTAAAGATACTTTGCGCCACGCATTGTGCCTCGTGCATTGACAACATTGATTGGAACATGTCAAAACTGGCCTTTGAAACTCAAATAGCATGCAAATTTGAAGCTATTGGATGCAACCAATAAAAGAAATAGCTAATAGGCAACAATTGTCAAAAGGCCTTCCAGAGAGGGATGACTCAATGATTTTTCTGGCAGTTTGATTCCGCTGGAAAACTGAGTAAGCAAGAGATGGAACTTTGCCTCAGAGATCTAGTAAAATTTATAAACTAAAAAAGGAACAAGCATGACGAATTGATACAGGGAAAGTTCATTAAATTAGGCAAATATAAGCGCTTCCCATAATTATTTAAAAGGCGTGTAGTTTTTAGCGACGCATGGCGCAAGGGTTGGTCCTCAGATGGTTAACATAACAATGATACAATAAAAACAAAAGCTGTCTTTTCCACTTAGTTACAGACAATACAACACAACATATGGTTAAACAACACGCATTCATCAAGAATAGACCAACCCACTATATTACTAACTTGCAGATGGAGGCTTTAGGTCGGGTGTGTGTGGTTCAATGGAGGAAAGAGGGAGGAGGAAGGAATGGGGACTATAGTCTAAAAGGTTTCCATTTCTGAAGTTTATCATCATTTCATAAATTATATACATTCTTTGGAAGTTGAAGTTTGCATGTGAAATGATTTAAACTTTCACGCTTACATAAAATCCTAATATAAACCCCTTCATGTAATTATGCATACAGCCCTACACAGAGTTGATAAAAGTCATCAGTTTGCACACATGTCCAATCAATAAACATAAATGGTAAGGTTGCTTTAGCAAGATTTTTCCTCAAAAGTTGTTTTTTCTTGTGTGCATTGTGGTGGGACTTCTTCCTGTTTTCGTTTCTGGTGGTCACTTTGGTATCACCACTAAACTAGCTGACCAATTGATCATCAGCAGTATAAACAGTTTGGCTACTCTTTTTCCTCTGCCCTTTGGCGACAAAATTTAGTATTGAAACACAACAACCAGTTAACCAAAACTCTCTTCCCTCAGTGTCATGTTTCATGAAACTGAGGCTTCAGAGATATGCAAGAGATTACTGAGATCTACAGAAATCTCCAAATATGCATAAAAATTTGCTAGCTTATAGATGAATAGGACTCTTTGAGTTTGGCCATAGTTAGTGGGGGGGTGAAATAAATTTAAACATGGATAGATTTGAGATGAAGAATGGCACTGACCTGCGGCTCCATAAAATGGTGTTTCCCTTGGGGTGCTCTTAGACCTTGGACTTCCCCTTTTACTTTTATGGACAGAATTAAATGATTTTGTTTCTATGGGTACAAAGCGAGTCAGAGTCCCTGTTCCGTCGGATGGGTTTACTTTCGGTTCTATCTTTTCTAGCCTTGCATTAATCTCTTTCATCTGCAGAATCAAAAAAATTTATTAGACTATGTGTCATTTAATTGCCAAAAGCATCCAAAAATATTTCAAAGAGAATGGGCCTTAACGATCATAAATTGTCTTTAGCTTGAAAGTTGCTGCTCCTGCAAAGAAACATTTCAATATTGGATGAGTTTGAAATTTTACCATTGATGAAGGAATATATTGCCGCTGCAATTCTTCACGAAACTGAGGACCAACCTGTCTGTACATCTCCTACAGAGAAGAAACACCCAGTACATGTCAGTTGACAGATTCCCAGCATTTTTTAACTAAATGTTAGCATGCTCTAACAATGTAACAAACAATGGAAGCTGCTGTATTACATCGGTAATTATACAGGAAAACCCATGTATTGTGTAAGGTAAGTCACTCCAGCGTGTTTAATATTATTGATACCCAGCTTCAGTACATTGAAAGCATTCTTGTCATTTTCAGTTCCCACTCATTATAGTTTATTGCAGCTAGTTTAACAACATACATCAACTAGTACTCTCTTGACATTGATTAAACAACACAATAATAACAAGTGATATGCATTCCATATAGGTCCTAATCAACTTTCGCATTAACATGATGAAAGTCAGCATAAGAAGCACATTTCAATGCATAAGAGCAGCTCAGCTGGAGAGCAAAATGATTTAAATTTTCTTATAGTTATACTTCTGGTGTCGTCTCGGCGCAGCAGGCAATCGCCTTGGGCAGCAAACGCTTTAGAATATGGCATCAGTGATCCACAAGAATGTGGAGCACATTGGATAATTGAGGTGTGGGCCTTACACATCAATGTTTCTTGATGTGCCTTAGTGCACACCCCAGTGACCCACTGCTGTATTACTGATTTTTTTCCCCAGGGGGGAAATCTGTATTTTTGAAATAGGTCCTCTTCTACATCTTTTGCCTGCTCTTTT